GCATATGACAGCAGCCCCGTTCCACCCGGCATTAAATGGCCAGGCAGAAAGAATGGTCAGGACGACCAAAGAGGCCCTTGCAAAGCTGGTATGTGGTGATTGGGGGGGTGAAACTTGCTTCATTCTTGTTGAGACAACATGTTACCCCTTGTTCGGCGACCGGCCGCAGCCCGGCCGAGATATTGGGTCACCGTTTAGCAACGCTGTTATTCGCGTATGTATGTGGTACGTCTTGCTGATGGTCGCAAGTGGCGTAGGCACATAGACCAGTTGAGGCAGCGGTGGGCAACTGACCGTCCCAACGCGCTGCCAGCTGAGTCCCTAGACCCCGAGGACCTTCCCAGACCTCCACAGGAGGTGATTTGGGTCACGAATGTATGTGGTACGTCTTGCTGATGGTCGCAAGTGGCGTAGGCACATAGACCAGTTGAGGCAGCGGTGGGCAACTGACCGTCCCAACGCGCTGCCAGCTGAGTCCCTAGACCCCGAGGACCTTCCCAGACCTCCACAGGAGGTGAGTACTGATGGGCCTGAGGGCATCAGTGCTGTTCCTGAGGCAGGGCAGACCCCTACTCTTGAACCAGTAGAATTGGACGGAAGTGTTCCTGACTCTGCGGTCCCAGAGTCAAACGGAGTGCCACTGACAGAAATGTACCCTGAGCCTAGTCCACCGAGAAGGTCTCAGAGAAATCGCCGTGCACCCACCTACCTAAGCGATTATGATTGTTCATGACTGTATTTGCTTAGGGGGGAGGGATTTGTAATGTATTCAGATGCTGCCATGAATGCATTAAGATGAATGTGAATCATCTCATAAGGAAGCAATGTAAAGCTTCGTCTTCAGCAGGGATGCAAGCCGAAGACAAATGCAACCAATCACATTCAAACAGACCGGGAGCGGGACCGTTTGTGATTGGCCTTTATTCGCTCAACCTGATAGGTTGATATGTGTATAGTAGGTGTGGCTACATTAGCCCGGAATGTTTAAATACCGAGCAGCTGCAATGGAATAGCTGTTCGGGCTATCAGAAGTTGTACCGTGTTAGAGAAGTGATCGTCGAGCTGAAATAAACCTGAGTTTTGCTGAAATCACTCTCTGACCATTTTGTTAAGCGTCGGACTTAACAGGCACTGCCACCCTGTTATTGGAGGTCGATGTTCTCAAGCTAGCAGAAGGGACTTTGAAGAGTCCGGCAGTGACAGTCCTGTTGAGTGATAGATTCTGTGCAGAATCCATCTTGGGTTCTCCTTGCCACTCCGGTGTTTCTCTTTGCGCACAGCGTTCTCTGAGTATCCCCCCCCCTTCTTTCACCAGGTTCCACTGGAGGACCGCACCATCTTCTCGGGAAATCTTTTCCAGTACATGGAAGAAAACAAGAAGTGGAGAAACCGCTACAGTGTTGTGCTGCACAATTACGGATTGGTGCTCTATGAAAACAAACTGGTGAGCCGCTTCCATCCTTACTGACAAAGGGCACGTTGTGCTTGCCGGTGGGAAGAGGAGGGAATCTGTGTGCCCAGAGGCGCCATCTTATCAGGACCCCAGTAGCTGTGGTACTTGAGCACTTGTTGCGTTCTCTTGTGTTTCCAAAGAGGCCTCCCGCGATAGCTGCTCAAAGAGGAGGAGCACTTGGGGAGAGGTTTGCTTTGAATCTCTCCATTTGGCCTAGCTGGCAGTGCAGGGTAGAAGGTGCTGGTGGGCTGGAGTGCCTTGCTTAGTTTTTCTGTCAACATCCCCATTTTTGAAGACTGGTGCTCACAAAACCTGTAGTTGTGTATCTGGTCCCAGCAGAGCCAGCCCAAGGCTTTCTGGCACCTGTGCTCTGACCTGGGTAGCCCAGGCTAGCCTGATTTCGTTACACCTTGAAAAGTTAAGCAGAGTTGGCTTTGGTTAGTATTTGGATGGGAGACCACCAAGCAGTACCACGGTTGCAACGCAGAGGCAGGAAATGACCCACCACCTCTGAGTGTCTCTTGCATTGAAAATCCTACGGTGTCGCCATAAGTCAGCTGTGACTTGTCAGCACTTTCTACCACCACCACCACTAGGGCTGCCAAGCCGCGGCGGGGGATCCGTGCGTCTTCACAGGATCCCTGCCGCGGGGGACAGCGATACGCATTGCACCGCCGTCGCCAGGATGTGACACTACGCGTCGCTCTGGCAACGGGGCTGTTTGGAGTCCCGTTGCCAGAGCGACGCATAGCGTCACATCCTGGCGACGGCGGTGCAACGCGTATCGCTGTCCCCCGCGGCAGGGATCCTGTGAAGATGCACGGATCCCCCGCCGCGGCGTGGCAGCCCTAACCACCACTACCAGGCAAACGATGACTTTGGCATCTCTCCATTCAAAGGAGAGCAAAGGGAGATGTCTAGAAGGAATGTTTTACTTAACGGGCATTCAGAATGAGCACTGATCAAGATGGGTGGCCGTGTTTGTCTGTAGCAGTCGAAAACAGCAAGAGTCCAGTAGCACCTTGAAGACTAACAAAATTTGTTTCATGAGTCGCTGCTCACTTCTTCAGATATATCGTAATAGTTAGAACAAAGTTTGAGTCCAGTGGCACCTTTAAGACCAACAAAGTTTGAGTCAAGGTATAAGCTTTTGTGTGCAAGCACACTTCTTCAGATACAATGAAATGGAAACGTGAAATGTATGGGCTATACATGTAGGTTGAGGGTGAGCAGTAAATTCACACACAACATAATGAGGATGTTGAACAGATTCAAGGACCAAGGAGGAATAACAAACTTAGTTTGTATGGTTACCATTTGTTTGGGTTTAATTCCAGGGGGAAACATAGTGAAAGAAATAAATATGTCAAAATATGTCAGAATTAGAGATGGATGGACAGATGTATCTTTAATTGTGGAGCTTCACAATTAAAGAAACATCTGCCCATCAATCTCCATTTTTGACATATTTATTTCCTTCACTATGCAATTGCAAAATACAGGGATGTTTTGTGCAAAGCCGAGATTTCATTGGAACAGAGGACCTGAGGCCCGTATCCTGTCCTTCTGGTCGGCAAACTTTGAGAGCTTTCTCCAGCTGTAGGTGGCCCTTTCTCCAGGCTACTGTCTTGGGTGCCAGTTTTCCTTTTAAGAGGCATTAGAATCGTGAAACAACATGTGTGGGACTTTTTCCTCTTCTCCAGGCCTATGAGAGGGGGCTGCAGCCCCGAATCCTACTCAACAATGCCGGTTACAAAGTTCTCACCTCCCTGGAGCAGTATCTGGAACTGACCAACAACAGCCTGCCAGGTGAGCACGCTCCTGAGTCCTTCAGACGATTGTGGTCAGCTGGCTACAGCTGGAAAAGCACCTTGGGTTGGCTGTCTCCGTACTGCATAAAGCAGTTGCTGAAAATATCTCTTTCCAGGCAGATGTTAGCTGAGCAAACTTCCTGGTGCTAGAGCAGAATCTATATTTCTTTTCTGGAGTGAGTTGGTTTACAGCTTCCGAAAGGCTTTGCTTTCCCCAGCATCTCACAGTTGATAGGTCTATCAGCGGCTACTAGCTAAGGTGACTAAGGGGAACCTCCATGTTCAGAGGCAGTCAACCTCTGAATCCCAGTGCCAAGAGGCAACCTCAAGGGAAGGCCTCGGCCTCTGTGCCCTGCTGTTGGCCCTACAGAGGAACTGGTTGGCCACCATATGCAACCAGGTGCTGGACCAAATGGACCACCGGTCTGATTCGCAGGGCTCTTCTTGTGTTCTTGTGTCTGCTTCTCTGGAGGCAGATTTAAGGACCAGGGCAGTGCTGGTGGGGAAGAAGGCTGTTGCCCTGCTTTAGGTCTGAGACCCACTCTAGGCTGGGGGGCTTTCGGGAAGGGCTCTAGTGCATCACCACTCTCATTCTTGGGGAGAAAGGGCCCAGCCAAACAGCTCTTAGTGCATCCACAAGTTCTGATGTGAGTCTGTGTTTGAGAGTGTGAGTACTGAGGTCAGGTGAGGGCATCCCTTCCCCCCCCCCCAAAAAAACCCCAGGAACTAAAAATGAAAAAAAATATTGTTGGACAGAAGCTGGCCGGGAACAGCAGGTTCCCACTTGACGTGAGATCCTCTCTTCAGGATGAGAGCCCTGAGAGGGGAAGTGGTTGCGACAATTAGCAAAAGCAACCAGTACAAGAGTACTCATTAAGGGGCAGACTGGTGTAGCAGGTTAGGTAAGGGCAGGGGCAGCTGGCCGGAATTCTGCCGTTCAGCCTGACCCCAAGCGTGGTCTGTGTGGCAAAGTGCACTTCTGGATTCTCCGCCACTGTCATGAGAGCCGCGGCCCTTGGGCACAGAAGGGATCTCACTCTCTCGCAGATGTTTGCATGCCTCTCAAAAAGCAGCTGTTCCCCTTCACCTCCTGTGGGAAATGGCTGGGTCAGGCCAGAAGTCTGCCTCATCTAGAGTTCTGTCTCTGCAGGACTATACTGATTCAACTTCTTAAGTCCTTCATCCCGACACCCTCTCTCACGGCACCACTTGGACCATATCTGCTTGAGATGCCATCTAGCAGCCTTGAACTAAGCTCATGTTGCAATGTCTGTGTCTCTCTGACCATCAGCTTTCCAGATGTTTCTGCTCCGTCTGCCTTCTGGAAACTTGCCACTGACAGTGGAATTCAGATGGCTTGCTCATCTGCGGGTTTCCTGGCACGTGGCAAAAAACTCTTACTCTCCTGTTGTAGAGATAGGCCGGCAGCTTGTCAATTCCCAATGCCGCTGTGTCCCTTGCACCCGTGGCTGCAGGCCCTTCCAAGTTTTGTTCAGTTTCCCCTTTTTGTGTGAGAGACATGCAGCTAAACTGCTTTAATATGGACTTGATGGAAATCTTTTATGTCTGGGTAAAGTAAAGGTAAGCTCTAAAGCCAGTCGAATCTGACTCTAGAGTTGCGGTGCTCATCTCCGTTTCAAAGCTGAAGAGCCAGCGCTGTCCGAAGACATTTCCGTGGTCATGTGGCCAGCATAACTAAACACCAAGGCGCATGGAACGCTGTTACCTTCCCACTGAAGTGGTACATATTTATCTACTTGCGATTTCTTGCTTTCGAACTGCTAGGTTGGCAGGAGCTGGAACTAGAGACGGAAGCTCACTCTGTCATGTGGCACACTCGGGTCTCGAACTGCTGATCTACCGACCTTCCACAGCCTACAGTTCAGCGTCTTAACCACTGCAGCTCCAATTTATGTCTGGATGGTGCCTCCTAATTGGGCAAGACCAGAGCAGTGACTCATGCAGTGAGGCAACAGGCAGCCTCCTTTGAGGACTGGCAACCATGTTACCTTGAGAGTGATTGGACTGATTCCGGCTTATTCAGCAGTACGGCAGAATTGCTTGTCCTTTGAGGTGGCTGCCTACCACGATGCTGCCCTTGATTGGTTTCCTAAAGCCGTGGCCTGCAGAGATGCAATTGCTAGCCTGTTTGGACGCTAAGTAATTCTATTAACCTTAGCATCAGCAGAGATGATGCCAAAATGCAGCAGGAGTAGCCACTGATTGGCTGTAGGATGATGGAAGGCCAAAGCAGTGACTTGTTTTGTGACACAACAGGCAGCCTCTGCCTGGGGGGGGGGGGGTCAGTGCTGTAAAGTCAAGCTTTGTTTTGCTGTCTTTTCCAGAACAGACTGAACTGTGTGATGCGTTTTGAAAATGAGGATACAGTATTTGGAATCATGGCAGGGTTTCTTCACCTCCTGCCACTCACATATTTTGTCTTTCCTCTTCAGGTCCTGCGCCCAAATCTGGCAATGCCGCCATACTGAAGTGCCCCACCCAGTTCCCGCTTATCCTCTGGCACCCTTATGCCCGCCACTACTACTTCTGTGTGATGACTGGCAAGGAGCACGAGAAGTGGCGGGCCGTCTTCCAGGACTGCGTGCGCCACTGCAACAACGGTACAGTGGAGCCCCCCTCTTTAGAAGGGCTGTAGCACTTCCGTTTGCTCTCCCTTCTCTGTTTCAAGAGGCTGTCTTGTGTATTGTGGGGGGGGGGGGGGCTATGTGAAACGTCTCTAGAATTCCATCTAGAGGGAAAGGGGGTAGAAGTGTAAAAGTTCCAGATCCTTAACTTTTAAAACCGCTGGACAGAAATGCAGATGAGCCCCCAATTGACTCTGAATTGTGCACTTGCCATGTGTACTGTGTGGCCTATCCTGTGCTGATTTTTATCCCATTTCTGCATAGAAATCTAGGGCATTGGGGTGGTGTGGTGGTTATGAGGACAGGCTGAGATCTGGAGGGTCCCTCATTCAAATCTCTCCTCCACCACAAACTCTCACCGATGGTCTTGAGCAAGCTGTGCTCAGCCTTTCCGCCTAGATCCTGATGGTGATACTTGCCTACCCAACAGGGCTGTCGTTACCGTGCTAACTCATGTGACACTAATTATGAAATATTCCAAAGATCTCAGTGATGTGTGTGATGAGTGTGGGCTCATGAGAAGCCTGGAGGCATGTACCCCTGGCTGGTTCCAAGATACGACATCCTTTGAAACAACCTGGCCCAAAGTCTTGCAATGAACTAGTGGGGATTTGCACTTGGGTCTTCCCTATCTCCGTCCAGGGTGCCTCTGTTTTTAGAAGCTGACTTTCAGATTACTTTTTTTTATGCTGCAGTCTCTCTTCCTGGCACATGGCACCATGCACGAAGAACCTCCACTCGCTGTGGGCGCAGAGTTTCTTTTTGCCAGCCCTTTGCAGATGTTTGTATGCGTCTCGGAAAGCAGCTGTCCCCCTTTGCCTCATGTGGGAAATGGCTGGGTCAGCAAGGTCCAGCTGGTCCTTTTTTTGTTTTGTTTAAATTCTGATGGAAACAATATCTGATGCAGCAAGCTGAGACTTCTGACAGTTTGGGGGTGGGAGTTAAGCAGCAGGTGAAGCAAGAGAGGCTTTTTCCCCATGGCTGCATCCCAAGCTGTACGTTTACTTGTGTTTAAACAGCCTGCTGCTTATTTTAAGGAACTGGTTTAAAAGAAAACAGAGCAATGCCCAAAACCATTACCCGTGGGGCATGGAATGTCTTGCAGTCACACCCCTGGGTTTTCTTTGTCAACGGTTTGCATCACGTGCCTCTGATGGTTCAAAAGATGGCACGAAAGTGAAATCGGCATGTAGCCAATGCGGCCTGAGTCCAAGGACTGACCGTGCTGGTTCATTCAGCAGGTGGTGTCCAGATCCCCGGGGAGGAATGCCAACCCTGGTTTGAATTGCTCGGGTCCAGATGGTGGGCAGGGGCAGGGGAAGGTCAGCAGAGCTGGCAATATCTGGAAGAGGGGAGTCTGCAGGAAATGCTCCCGGGCCTCAGGTTACCCTCCCTCTCAAAGAACTTCCTGGCTTAGCCCCTGTGGTAATAACCTGGCTGTGGGGAGAACAGCAGACTGGATCGTGCCTTTTCAATGGACCGGCCAGGCATTTGTTGAACTCTCCTTGTGCAGCCACAGAGCTCACAGGGCATCCTGGAATATGAGAGAAACCCACCTGGGTCATCCCAAGGGTTCATGAAGTCCAGCTTCCGATCTCCTAGAGTGGCCAATCACAGATGCCTTAGGGAAGCCCACAAGATAGAGAGGAAGGCAACAGCCCCCCCTGACATCTGGAGGCATACAACCTCTGGAGGTTCCAGTAGCCATCAAGGGAATTCTCCTCCATGGATTTGTCTCATCCCCTTCTAAACCATCTGGCAGAGTGGTTGTCCCCACATCTTTTGCCAGTGAACTCTGGAAGGTAGTTCTGCTTTCTGAGAACATGTTTCCTCCCATTCTGTCCTCAGGCCCATAGCTGTCGGGGGGCCCTGGGGACGACACCCCCTCACGGATGTGCCCTGCACTTTCCCTAGCCCTTCTCCCGGATTTGAACCCCTTGTGTCTTCCCAATCGTTCTACAGTTTTTACTCTTGACAGGGGAGAGCTGGGTTCAGACCTCTACTGAGCCATGCCTTTCATCATCAGTCTTCCCCACGTGGGGACTGTGCATGAGCAGGCCTGCCATTGGGGAGGTTTTTACAGCTAAAAGCCTCCATGGGGTGCTGCACACTGGAGCCAGAAACTTGCTCCCACCCAGGGACCACAGGCTCCCAAGTGGCATTGCCCCACCCTCAGTTCCTCTTTTGCTGCCAAAGGAGAAGGTTGCCGGGTTTTTTTGAGTTTCCAGTTTTTCCCCGCATTGGTGAGGAATTGCTTCCCTGGTTCGCTGGGGTTGTTCTGGCTTCCAAGTTTGTACTATGGCTCGGAAAGCCCTTTTCAAAAAACACACCCATTGTGGGGCGAAGATGACCCAAACCGACAAACACGACCTATGCATGTTTTGTTTGGGTGAAGGGCTCAGTGTTCCCCCCCATATTCCCAGATCCATGTTGCAATGGGTCCAATTCAGGTTGTGCTCCCCTCCGGCTCATCGTGCCTCTTCCAAGCCACCAGCTCAGAGGGCAAAGACCAAGTCCAAGGATAAGGGCAAATGGAAATCTGTGTCTCAACAACATGAAGAAGAGAAGAAGAAGAGATTGGATTTATACCCCGCCCTTCACTGCCCAAAGGATTCTCAGAGCAGCTTACAAACTCCTTTCCCTTCCCCTCCCCTCCCCACAACAGACACCCTGTGAGGTGGGTGGGGCTGAGAGAGCTATGACAGAAACTGCCCTTTTCAGGAACAGCTCTGACAAAACTATGGCTTGCCCAAGGTCATCCAGCAGGTGCAAGTGGAGGAGTGGGGAATCAAACCCGGTTCTCCCAGATTAGAGTCTGCACACTTAACCACTACACCAAACATGCCCCGTTCACACTCCTGAGCCTACTCCAACTCCTCAGGATAACGCTAGGACTCCATCCCTGGGTTTGAGAACCCCTCTTCTTCCAATCTCGGATGGGGAAGTAGAAGCGGGCTTAACCGTCAAGTCCCGTATGACTCTGAACGGGAGCAAACAGCAATGGTTCCATGGTCTCAGCCTCAACCACCTACGTGATGGCTATCGCACCTGTACATGATGTCTCCAGGTTATCTGGAAGAGTGGTGTTACAATGTCACTCATCCCAGGGATACAAATTTATGTCCTTACCCTCATCAGGCTTCCTCATGTCTGCCTTCAGCAATGTTTTCCTGTAGGCCTCATTCTCCTATACCTGCTGTGAAGGGAGACGTTGCTGCCATTGAATCTGACAGATCCGACACTACATTGGATCTGAGTCAGGACGAGAGGGTGGGCAAGCCCTCTCCAACCTTTCCTATGGAAGACCTCCGTATGTATGGGGAAGAGATAATTCATATCGACCAGTCCCTTGAAATAGAACACAAAGCAAAAGACAAGATATCGAGTCACCTCTGTTTGGAGTCCCCTAGTATTATTGCATTCCCAGTGTTAGAGGATCTTGAGGACCTTACGCAGGAACTCTGGCAAAAGCCTGCATCCCTCCAACCCACATCTAGAAAAGTGGGACATATTGACAGAGTCAAGAAGGAGCCCTTTAACTATTTAACAACTCATCCCCCACCATCTTTTCTGGTGAGGCAGGAGGTGCAACCTAAAGGCCGTCAGGCTTACAACTTCGCTTCCATGGACAGAGAAGAATGAAACCTGGATGTCCTAGGATGGCAATTATATTCTTCTGTGTTGGGGGTTCAAGATTTCCAACTATGAGACCATCATGGCCGGCTGTCAGCTTTTCTCGTGGGAGAGGCTCTTGCTGTTCCTGGAGCTTCTGCCCGAGGACGAGTGGCCCCTTGCTAAGGTCCTGCATAAAGGTAAAGGTAAAAGTTCCCTTGCTCGAAAGCCAGTCGAGTCTGACTCTTGGGTTGCGGTGCTCATCTCTGTTTCAAAGCCGAAGAGCCAGCGCTGTCCGAAGACGTTTCCGTGGTCATGTGGTCAGCATGACTAAACACCAAGGTGCACGAAACGCTGTTACCTTCCCACTGAAGTGGTACCTATTTATCTACTTGCAATTTCTTGCTTTCGAACTGCTAGGTTGGCAGGAGCTGGGACTAGAGACGGGAGCTCACTCCGTCATGCGGCAACCCGGGTCTCGAACTGCTGAACTACTGACCTTCCACAGCCTGTAGTTCAGCGTCTTAAGCACTTGAGCCACCGCAGCTCCCTGCATACCGAGGCCATCAAACTCTCGAAGCGGCAGATTAATGCAGGTCGGCATTCTGTGGCGCATGCCACGGCGAGTTCTATTGTACTCAAACGCCATGCTTGGTTAAGATCAACGGCATTGCCTGTAGAGACCAAGCACAAGGTTGAGGACTTACCTTTTGAGGGTTCGACGCTCTTCTCTACCAGGACTGACGAGATGCTGTCCCTGATAAAGAAAAACAAGCAGATGGCTAAGTCAATGGGGGTGTCACAACCAGACCCATCCCAATTCAAGCAGGGGCCGTTTGTACAGCAGCCCTGGCACCCTTACCAGTGGGATTACCGCTATGCTAACCCTTCAGGGGCCCAGCATCATACCTCTAAGCAGTTTACCCCACAATCCGGTTATCAAAGGCATAAGCGTTCTAGCCGAACTAGGTCAACACACCAACTGCCCCCTTCTAGATAGGCTGCCCCATCCTAAAATTCTTCCTCCTGACTAGGAGTGATCTCCGCTCTTGTTAAGTTTGGAGATGGGCTAACTCAGTTTTACGCTGCCTGGGAGGCTAATACTCCCAACGAGTGGGAATTTAAGTTGGTTCCTCCATGTTCCTTGCCCCTGGGGGTCTGTAGCCAGGCAGCACCAGACCTGTCCCAGGTTTAGTCTCTCTAATTGACAAGGGTGTGATTGAGGAGGTGTCTGAGTGGCACCTGAGGGTTTGTTCTCCCGGATGATCCTGGTTGATAAGTAAGATTGGGTGGGGTGTGTTTAGGCCCATTCTGGACCTCAGAAGTTTGAATATTTTTCTTCATGTACTTGAATCTAGACTGCCGGGGCCTCTTACCAACAGCTGCCTCCCCTTTCGCTGCCTCTCGAAGGAACTGTGCCCTACCTGGTGGTACACCTTCCCCTTCCTTTGCGGGCCTTGGAAACTGCTCAGAGAATGGGAAGGCCCTCTACTGGCCAGGCCTTTTGCCATGCCTGGGGTGGGGCATTCCTTGGCAGTGGGTGGCATTTGTATGTTCAGTGGTTCCCACCCATCCAGCTCCATCCCTCCCTTGGCTGGCTTCCTGCTCCCGGGCCTGCGTGGAATGCTGGCGGGGGAGCATTAAAATATCTTGCTGTGAGCAAACCTCCCCTGTCCCCGGGGGGTGGGGGGAACCTACCTCTGGGATTTCTTTCCCACCTCCCGCTGGGCAGAGGCCCCCACCCAGCTCACGGTGTTCGAACTGTCCTTTTCCTCCCCCTCCGAGCTGTAGCATTTGGGTGTTTCCTTTTCGGTGCATCCCCCCCCCCTTTTAATGCCTTTCTTTGCCATGAAGGCGAATGAAACGCTTGGCTGAGATGGCTCCTTGCCACCTTCCTTTTGGAACCAGGCACTAGGATGGCTGTTGCTCAACCGAGGTCAAACGGCAGGTGTGTGAGACTGATGAGGCCGATCCCAGGGCCGGGTCTGCCTTGTCTTGCCTTCCCTGGGCGTTGGCTGCAAGAGAGAGTTTGGGTGCCTGGCTTTCGAGCAAGAAGGGAGCGCTCGTGCCTCTTCCACTTCTGGACTTTAAAGCCCAACCGTTTTATCTGGGGGGGGGATATGTGGAGCGGGGGCTCGCCCCGAGAGCCAGTTTCATGCAGTGGTTAGGAGCACGGACTCTAATCTGGGAGAACGGAGTCTGATTCCCCACTCCTTCATATGCAGCTGCTGGTGTGACCTTCGGTTAGTCACATTTCAGAGCTGTTCTCTCTCAGCCCCACCTACCTCACAGGGTGTCTCTTGTTGGGAAGGGGAGGGAAAGGAGATTGTAAACTGCTCTGAGACTCCTTTGGGGTATAAATCCAATCTCTTCTTTTCTTCTTCTTTAACTTGCTTGCATCACATGGCGGTACATAATTAACTTACGGAACTCATCGACACTGGATGTAGTGATGGACAAATTAATGACTCTTTCAATGAGTATAAACTTTGGCTAAACAGAACCTCATGTGCAGGGTGCAGTCTACCCCAGAATAGAGGCTGCTGGGGTGCAGCAGCATGTTTGTCATCTGGACCAGGTGAACCTCTGGCTTGATCCAGCAGGGCTCTTATGGGGGGGGGGGTGTCTTGGCACCCTAACATATTAAGTTCATTTGAGAGAGACCCTCTCCTTCACTCCTGGATTTCGATAGCAAGTGTCATGTGATGCTGCCTGACAGCATCAGACCATTTCTCTCTCTCTCTAGCTCAGTATTGCTTGAAGGGCAGTGGCTCTCCAGAGGCTGGGACAGAGGAGGATCTTTTTCTAAGCCTTCCTATCTGAGATCTTTTATCTGAGTCTTGAACTAAAGGCCTTTTACACGCAAGGCATGTGGTTGTTTGTAGAGCTCTGGTTTTCGATTCCAGATGTGTGGAATTAGTTCATCTCCTGGCAGAACTAGCATATTGCAGCCTATATACATTGCGGTGTATGCCTGAACGGGGGGCCTGCAGCTTTCAAGTATGGGGGCACATGGTTTGGTGCCATCCCAGACTGGGTCAACCACTTCATCAACCACTGGGCTTCTCTTATCAAGCATCTTGTTGGGTATCTAGAGATCGGTGGTGGAACGAAGCCAAGAATGTCTCGCTTGGGCTGCAGGAACTGCCTGCAGGCTTTCAGCCTTGAGGGCTAGAATCTTGTTTGACTTTCTCCAGAATGAAAACAACCAAATACCGTGGTTGGGTGCAGTTCACTCATGCAGTACAGATAGTCCTGTATCTGATCTGTGGTGGCTTTTCAGCTTCTTGGCTAGATCTGTTTTCCAGCCCACTTGATCTTCCAGCCTATTGGGATCTTGAACACGTAAACACATGAAAGGGCCTTCTGCTGAGTCAGACCCTCGGTCCATCAAGGTCAGTCTTGTCTACTCAGACTGGCAGCCGCTCTCCAGGGTCTCAGGCAGAGGTCTTGCACATCACCTACTGCCAGATCTTTTCCACTGGAGATACTGGGGACTGAACCTGAGACCTTCTGCATGCCAAGCAGATGCTCGGCCACGGAGAGTAGTCTGTCATAGGCTCCTGCTTGGGTGGGACTGTACCGTCTCAGGAGGTTTGTGGAGTGTTTCTTCCTGGAAAAGGGTCAGCTCCCTCCCCATGAGAAAGTACCCGTTCAAGAAGATGGCACTCCTCTTTGGACGTTCTCTGACTGGCAGCTTCTTTGAGGTGCCTTTGGGGGAGTAATTGGAAGCCCTGTGAAGGATTTTGCTGGCATGGCTCCAGAATGTTTTCCACCCCAGAAATCCTTAAAAAGAGACTTCAGCTGGGAGCTTTGTACATGCTGAGTGTGCCCTGTTGCTGCCGATTTATGGCCGAGAAATGGGCACGTGGGTTTTGGAGCTGATCCAGGGTTGGATGCCCACATTTCTCATCTGCCAAAACAGAAGCAGTTTCCAAAAGGAACGCTGTCTGTCAGGATTTTTCCTCTCCTGCACACCTTGCGTTTGATTGCCCAGAGCCTTGAAGCTGAGAGAAGTGATGATGGACTGGGAAGGGGGGGGGGAGAGGAGGAATCAAGGAAGACTCTGCATAGAATTTCATGCCTCTCACATGCACACTTTAGCTGCAACATCTGGAGCCTGCCTGAGAGTCTGCTTGGCAGACAAAATAGTGCTGTAACCTCGAGAATCCTGATCCCGTTCTGAGTTATTCCTTCTCCGTGACCGAGAGAGAAATCTGTCCTCTCCAATGCTTCTGGCATCTCTTTGCCCAGAAGCAAACTGTCTCCTGTGTTCTTTAAGACAGTAGCCTATGTCCGTGTGTATTATTCTCTTCCTAGCGCCTTGCTGAGAAGCCAAGGCATAGTGTGGCCTGCTTCTGAAAGGAGAGAGTGTTCTTTGCCCACCTCCCCTCCTGATTTTCCAGTTCCACCGCACTTGCTGCCAATTCTGGGTTTGAAAACGGAGCTGGAAAGTCAGTGCCTCGTGTTTCTCCTGATGTGAAAGGAGGTATGCTGAGCGGGTCACGCCACTGCTGTAAATCTTGCGGCTGCAACCTGGTCCCTCTCCCCGGCTCCCCTGCAGGATCGGGCAGTTGCCTGGCTAAAAACCCCACCGTCCCAGAGGGGGAAGCCTCCTGTAGATCTCTCTCTCTCTGTATTCTCAGGGCTTCCAGATTTTTCCCTTCTTTGGGATCTGCTCTTCCTGTGAATCACTCCGAGGGAACCTTGGGTGGCCGTGAAAGTAGCGACAGTACGGAGCATGGTTCCTTCTCCCCATGGGGGTGTTTACAGTTTAGCAATACTGTGCTGTCTGTGATTCATCCGGTCTTATTATTTTTAGTCACTTTCCCTCCCCCCATCCCCCCTTTCCCCAAATGTGGCAATTTCCTTTTTAGACCTCACTTCCGGCCGCTTGTGCTTCCAGATGTCTCCTCAGTGGATTTAAGCCGAGTTTCCTGACCCAGGCAGGCAGGCGCCAAATTCTAGCCTCGCATTAACTCTTTCCTGTGCTGCTTTGGTTTGTGCTGCAAATTCTTTGCTCTAGTGGACCGGTGGGGAGGAGCTGCCATACAGATGCTCCTGCAGAGGGTGCCATGTGGCAGTAGTTGTGCATTATGTGGTGCACAACAGCTTGCCATGTGGATTTTCCTACTGCTCCGTTGTCAGGATTTCTTTCTGTTGCATTTGTCGCTTGGCAAAATGTGCCCAGTCCCCACAGCGTCTCTGTGCCAGTGGCTTGCTTGTGTGTTCACGGCCACCAGGGGGCGGGATGCAGAGCAGCCGTGACTTGGCAGCGGTGTTCCCTCGAAGCTGAGTCAGTGTGAGATAGCTCACAGTTTTTTAGCCTCCGGCTCACACATTTTTGTCTTCGCTCAGGAAGGATGGCTCCAGAGCAAACTCATTTCTGCAGGAGCCAAATCACTCACAGCTTTAATGCCGGTAGCTCACAAAGTAGAATTTTTGCTCACAAGACTCCACAACTTAGAGGGAGCCTTGCTTGGCAGCAGTAGAAAGGTACAGGTGGGACTGTGTCCTTTAGCACCCCTTGTACCTGTTCACGATGGGAATGCCTGATTGGCCTGACATTCTAGCAACCTTAGCAGGACCACTGAATTAAATCCCAGTTCTCCCCCTCTCCCAAATGTATTCAGCCCACTTGTTCTTCTCTTCCAGGAATCCCAGAGGACTCCAAGGTCGAAGCTCCTGCCTTCACGGATGCCGTCCGCATGTACCGCCAGTCCAAGGAGCAGTATGGCACCTGGGACATGCTTTGTGGCAATGAAGCACAGGTAAGATTAGGAGGGGGGCTGGGGAAGTGGGAAAGCTAAGGATTGAGGGAACTGGTAGACATCAGGCGAGCTGCTGGAAGGGAGAGGCCTGCCAGAGCCTCCTTCCTCTTTACAGCAGGAGAAAAAGTTAAAGGCAAATCCGGCTGTGTTTTGGTTCATTTGCAAGTGCATCAGTGTCAATAGCACACCCTTCTAGTTCATGCTCGGCTGAAATTACAGCCCCTGAGTGGGTCTGTGGGGGTGTTTAAGTTACCAGCTGTGAATGTGAAAAGATCCTTGCTTTGCAAGAGAAAGCTTTGATCAGCAAACCTGCTTGGCTTGATGTCCGCTTTGGGCAAGGGTAGCTCGCTCCAATACGGGGGTCCCCAGCTGGGCCCATTTGGAATGGCTACCTCAGGAGGCGGGGCCAGCCACAAAATTATTATCGCAGCTTAATTTCAGTAGCACAGTGTAGATCCTTGTGTGGTGGTAGCAGCTGCTGCCAAGGCAACATTAAAAAAAAATTGCACAGCCAATCAGATGCCTTGGGCAAAAAAAGCCTTACCTGGCCCTGCCCACTTCCTAAAAACACTTGGCGGGTGCCAGAAAAGGTATTGGTGGGTGCCAGGGCATCCGTGGGCACTCCTACACTGATGAGGAGAAGGAATTTAAACCCCGCCCTTCACAACCCAAGGGAGTCTCAGAGCGGCTTACAATCTCCTTTCCCTTCCCCTCCCCATAACAGATGCCCTGCGAGGTAGGCAGGGCTGAGAGAGCACTGACAGAAACTGCTCTTTTTCAAGGACAGCTCTGACAGGACTATGGCTTGCCCCAGGTCATCCAGCAGGTGCAAATGGAGGTGTGGGGAATCAAACCCGGTTCTCCCAGATTAGAGTCCGCACACTTAACCACTACACCAAACTGGCTGGATAGGATGGAACGGGGTCTGTGGACCATGTGCCCGCTAAAACTGTGCAACTCGTCCTTCCAGGTCTTGAGCAACTTGGTGATGGAAGAAATCCTTCCTGAGCTGAAAAACATGATCGGTCCTCGGCTGAAGGGCAAAGCCCAGGAAAGGCACAGAGTTTGGATCCAGGTGAGTGCGTGTCGTACATGGCACAGGGGGGCCCGTGGCTGGGGGAATTTTTGCTGTGGACATTCTGCTGGGTGCTTGGGAGTTGGATGGAACTGAGCAATACCCACTGGCCCAGTGAAAACTTGTATAGTACAAAGTTTCCCACTTGGCATATAATTCAGGGTTGGAAAGTACACATTATAAGAAGCATGGGGCTGCTGCTGAAAATGGCAACCCCATTGAGTAATTTCTGCTCCACGAAGCCCTCAACCTTTGTGAGCCTGCAGGCAGCTTTGAAATTCTGACACAAGGTGGTGGGCACCGCTACAAAATGGTGGCTGCAGGAGGCGGAGCCAACTATGAAATGGTAGAGAGTGAGGTCATGTATAATGCTAATAGTAGCTCTTCAACGTTTCAGGCAGAAGCTCTGCTTAACGTAATGCCTTCCAAAATGACCATATTGTTTAAAACAGTGAAGATTGTCGTGCTGTGGTGGCACAGGCTGCCGAGTGAGTTTTTACAAATATGCACAGCCAGCCAGAAGCCCTGCTGAGAAAAGGTCCTACCAACCCCCCTCGACCACTTCCTAAAAATACTTGGCAGGTGCCAGGAGAGGTGTTGTTGGGCTGCATGGATCCCATGGGCACCGTGTTGGGGACTTAATGTTCTGCCAAGTGGCTACCACACATACCAGTGGCAGCTAGTCACATGGTTTGGAGAAACACATGACAGCATGGGGGTGGTACTCCAGGCAACAGGCAGCTTTTCCTAAGGTTGCCATCCCCCCGATGGGTGCGGGGTCCCCCCCCGCTTTCGGGGCCCCCAATCTGCTGACGGCCAGCTGGCTGGTTGGTGAGCCTTGCCCCCAAAGAGCCCTGACATGCCTGGCATGATGACATCACCCAGAGGTGACATCATTGTGCCAGGCATGTGTGCGGGAGGACGCTCTAGCATTTGCGTTAAAACTCTATGGTGATCATAGACTTTTCCGCCCAGATGCTAGAGCATCTTCTGCACGACATGCCGGGTGTGATGACGTCACTTCTGGGTGATGTCATCGAGCTGGGCACATTGGGGCTCTTTTGGGACGGGGCAGGAGGTGTTGGCTGGGGTGGGGCAGGAGAAGATCCCAGGACCGGGCAGGGGCACCCCTGCTGGCAGCCAGGTAAGACCTGGCAAACCTAGCTTTTCTTCAGACTTCTTAAATGAGTCACTAATCCTTCTGACTATGGAGGTGAGCTTTGCCGGCATGGGCACAGTGTGGAGATCTCTCCAGAGGCAGAGGATTCCAGGAGGCAGAGTCCCTGGATTGTCTCCCATGGTTATGAGAAGCCGGATCAGTTATGCAGAATCTGTGGGCGGTGTTGATTGGCATAGTCTGGATGTTCAGATATGGCTTCCCTTGGCACAGAGCCACGACTATCTTTTTGTGCAAAGCCTTCCTTTTGATTCAGTTGTCTCGCTGACTAATACAACTCTGAGTCACGCCCTTCTTAATCCCATGTTACCTAGAGGACAAGACTGAACAAAGCTGTCTTTTATTCTTGAAATTCGGCTGTCACTGCAGTGCAAACAGTCCATCTCTCTCTCCGGCCTGCCAACTTCCATAGTGTCAGCGTGCCAGGGGTACAGGGCCGACCATTTTAGCATGGCCTGTCCCTCCCGGAGACCATGTTTATTGAAAATGTTTTTAGCCCTCCGTGAGATAATTCTGGCACAGAATGTCACGCTTGGGCAGGAGTTTATTTGGAAAACTAATCGAGATCTTTCCATTAGAGTTATTTTTAAAATAGCTCTGCAGAAAAATCTCCTTTAAATACTTGCCTTCTGGTGGGCAGGTTGGATCCAGTGGGTGGAGCACGTGTATTTGGCTGAGGTTCCGTTCCTAGCATCTCAAGAGAAAGGACTTCTGGGAAGGAGGGCTTGGGGCAGAGACCCCAGACCATTGGGGCTTCTGAATGGATATTGGTGGACTAGCTGGACCTTTGACATGAATCTGTATACAGCCAGGGCCGGCTCCCGAACTAGGCGTTCGCCTAGAGCGCACCAACCCTTAGGGGCGCCAAACTGCACCTGCCCCCCACCAAAAGCCCCCCCCCCACCTAAAGACATGCATTTCCATGGCCGGGTAACCCCTGCCGCTGCCCGCCACCTCTTTGGCCGGCTAACTTCTCCCTGCCTGCCCCCTCGGCTTCCCAGCAGAGCGCTTCTCCTCCTCCTCGCGGCCGGGGACTGACAGCTGCAACAGTAGGGCCGGGGAAGCAACGGCTTGTGAGTGCCCTGCCGGTCAGCCTCTTCTCCAGGTGCCCTGATGAGGGGCGCCAAACTGCACTCGCCCCCCACCAACAACCCCCCGCTGGCTCTGACCGGGGGGGGCACAGGGGGCGCAAGAAGGGATCCTTGCCTAGAGTGCAAAATAAGCTGGGGCCGGCCCTGTATACAGCAGCTTCCTGCATTCGGATGACTCTCTTGGAACGGAGAGCAGTGCTCCCTCTCAACTGAGTTAGTGTGAGCTAGCTCACAGTTTTTTAGCCTCTGGCTCACACATTTTTGTCTTAGCTCAGGAAGGACGGCTCCAGAGCAAACTAATTGATGCAGTAGCCCAATCGCTTGCTCACAACTTTAATGCCAGTAGCTCACAAAGTAGAATTTTTGCTCACAAGACTCCACCGCTTAGAGGGTGCATTGGTTAAGCGCCCTCCCCTTGTTTTGCTGTTTTGTGCATTCCTTAGTTGGTCTCCAACTCCACCATGACCTACCTCAGCTCTTCTCAGATCTCTGGTGGATTCTAGATCATTGTTCACTGGCAGGGCCGTGTGCATGCTTAGCAGGCAGTACTACCAGAGGAATCACAGCATAGACAACACAACCACAAACACAACCACTGTGAAATACAGCGCTGTGACAATAAAGGCAAAAGTAAAAAGCGATTATATATACTCAAAGTGTCATTATAATGCATTAATTATTTCCAGTATTCCATATAAGACATTCAATACAACAATATAGTTATTCCCATCCAGTATCAAAGTGGCGTACAGAAAACCCTCACAGAGGAAAAGTCCAAGGGAAAGGTATAAATAGAATGAATCAAAATCTGCACACTGTCCAAAGCGCAAACGAGACAGAGCTTCTGGTTAACTCCCATGTTTTGCCAATTCAGTCCCTTCTTTAGTAAAGGAAACTGGCAGAGCATCCGACAAACAGTCAAGGTCAAGTATTTTCTACAACGTATTATTTTCTATGTCGACATGCGCTCACAATCTCTCTTGACAGTTCGGCAGGCAGGCAGGCTTGCTCCCTCAGGGGTAGACTTCCAGCTCTCCCTTGGTTCAGCTGAAGTTCTATCGTGGCCGTAAGCCATAGCAGAACTCGAGTTTGTTAGAATCCAGTGCACTGTGTACACAGGGAACATTTGGTTGTGTTTGGAGTTTCTTCTGTGAACCCTGTCCTGGATAGCCCAGGCAAGCCCAATCTCACCAGACCTTGGAAGCTAAGCAGGGCCAAACCTGGCAAGTACTTGGATGAGAGACCTCCAAGGAATACCAGGGCTGGGACACAGAGGCAGGCAATAGTAAGCCAGGTTGGTGTAGTGGTTAAGTGTGTGGACTCTAATCTGGGAGAACCGGGATTGATTCCCCACTCCTCCACTTGCGCCTGCTGATGTGACCTTGGGTCAGTCACAAGCTCTGGCACAGCTGTTCCTGAAAGAGCAGTTTGTGTCAGAGCTCTCTCAGCCCCACCTACCTCACAGGGTGTCTGTTGTGGGGAGGGGAAGGGAAAGGAGTTTGTAAGCCGCTCTGAGACTCCAAGTGAAGGGCGGGGTATAAATCCAATCTCCTCCTCCTCCTCTCTGAAATGTCCAAGGTCCACTAGGGGTCGCCAGAAGTCAACCATGACTTCCAGGTATAAATACACACACAATACTCACCCCCCCCCCCCCAAAAGAGCTGCTTCTGTGAATCTGCAGCAACTTGTTGCGGAACGTTATTGCTGACAGCAACTGACTTCAAATTTGCAGCCTCTTGATGGGCTGCTAAACTGAAGGAGCGGCTGAGCAAAAAAAAAAAAAAAAAAGGTCATGGTTTTGGTAGCACCTCCCTGTCACATTTTGCCCATGCAGATTCCAACTTCGCCCGTATCTGCTTTCTTTAAACAAAAGATGTTCCTAGGCCTCGTGTGCAAATAGGCTG